AGCGACTGTCGTCCTCGACAATATTCGTTCTCTCCATCTCCCTATCCCAGACGCCATCATAGAACTCTGGCCGCTCTCCTTGGTGTCACTCGTACCGTTTTTTCACGGGCAAAAACAACTCCAATTCTTCCCACTATTGGTACTCCCTATCACTGCTATGCTCCGCTGTAGCATACAAGGCTTCCCTATAGTGCTTGGTTTCGGTGCTGGTATTATTATAGGAGCCCTCTGGACTCTTGTAACCGCAATTGACAAGGCAGTTCATACCAACACTCCCTCAACTACGCTACCATTACGTTATTGTATACTATGGACCGCACTGTGGTTTACCATATGCGCTCAAATCGGCACTTTTGAACTCCTCAGCGAGTCACTATATGTGGTTCCATGGTTGGTACAACCAGCGTCTATAATAGGAGTCTTCGGTATAGAAATGTTGTTGGTCTACTTCAACCTCTACGTAGTTTCTCTGTTGGATTCTACTCGAGAGAGGCGGAAAAATGGTGTTATCAAAATATTTATTGCTGTTGTTTTTTGGCTGTCGCTGAGCTTATTGATTTTATATAACAATAACAACACAGATCAGGAAAGTATTATTGTTGCTACCGTAACTCCGGGAAATCTGCTCCCCAGCGCTTGCGGTGGTCGCAAAGAGATCGTTCACGTTGGTGGTAGACTTCCATGCAACGGTAGTGTACACAGAATGCTGAATCTTACTGAATCTGCTGCAATTAACAGCGGAGCGAAGCTCATTGTATGGCCAGAAGCCTGGCTTAGTGGTTTCAACGACCAACAGAGTCTACAACTGTTCTTGGATAAAGAAATTGCCCCCGTTGTTAAACGACTTGGCGTTATTCTCACATTTGGTGCAACGGTTAAGCCTTGTGAAAATCTTGCCGTCACTATTGATAACGGAGGTTCTATTGTAAGTGTTTACGGAAAACAATGCCCGTTTTGGATAGCCGGTGAGAAAAGTTCTGCAAAATATGGTTTCCCGGTTTTCGAGCTCCCCAGTGTGCTCAGTAGTTCCCGACCGGAATTATCAGTGACCAACACTCTAGGAAAAGCCAGTACACTCATTTGTTATGATATGGATTTCCCCGCTACTGTAAGAACAGTTGCTGGTCTCGGTGCGTCCATAATAGTGAATCCCTCGAACGATTGGAGCTCTATGAGGAACCACTACGGTGTTAGTGTATTTCGAGCGATCGAAAATAACATTCCCATTGTGAAAGCCGACGGGGCTTGGGACTCAGCGATCATCGATGGTTCTGGAAAAATTTTAACGGAGTTTCAAAGCATTGAAGCTATTGAAAAAGTTCTGGTGGCTAAAGTGAACCTCAAGGGTATGTCTACTATTGCTACTCTACTTGGTGATCTAATACCGTTACTGTGTTGTTCGTATGTGGTTGTGATTATTATGATCATTTGTGGTAGAACGTTGAGTGGACTGCTACAGAGCTGGAAAGAGCGACGACGAAGTCGATCTCTGTATGCGCCGATTCTTGATGGTGAAACTCCGTGAAAAATGTTGATTTTATTTTCATTTCTAATACTACTATGGTTGTGTTGTACAGTGTGTGTGAATTTGATATGCAAATGTGTGTTACTTTGGAGGACAAATTATAGTGAACAGTTCCAAACGGGTACTTTCATCACAACACATGTTCATAGCCATTGTTACATTGTATATGCGATATACTTTCACATTGATTCTCATTAATCTCGAAAAATAACACCACACATTTGCATATCGAATTGGCACACACTGTAGATAGTGTCGAAATATATTTTTAGTAATATCAGTTTCCCCACTAACTACAAGAGTTTGTATAACGAATTCGGGTAGAAGTGTACAGATATCAACAAGAATTTTCCGAAAATTTTTACGTTTTTAGTAATACCAACTACTGACCGATGTAGAAAAAAAATGTACAAAATTAACTACATGTGTTGGTGACAATATGGAAATTCTGGGAGGAAATTTCGTACACTTCTACTACCCGAATTTGCATGTGAACTCCTGAGCTCTGCAGAGGAGAGCGAATATATATTCCTCCAACACTGAGACCACTTTTAACCACGAAAAATGCGACCACTCAATGGAGTTTCACCACCCTAGTGATATGAAAAATATATTTCACGACTACTGCGTAGCACCGCGAATATCATCGCGTTTTTCGGGGAGTTTTACGCCACTTCGCGTAAAACTGGTGAAACTCCAGTGTTGGAGTAGGAATATATGTTCGCTTTCCTCAGCTACTGATCTGAGGAGTTTATATATGAATTCGGGTAGTAGAAGCGCAGTACAGAAATCAATAAAAATTGCCTAAAATTTCTGCAGCAACATATGTATATTTCCCCACAGTCTTTAAATAGAAAACATCGTATAAGCCTTTTTTAATGTTCCCATTGCTGCATGCGCTCCGTTGCAAAAGAGTGTCGTCGAGACTACCTCGCCAGAAGATCGATTCAGAGCTCGCTACTTTAGCAACTATCCTCATACGCCAGCCTCCACAACAGAGTTATAACGTCCTCAAGAACCTTCCCATCGAATCTGTTGTATTATATGCATTCACTCGTGCGATGGCTAAGGAGGCTCTGGTGGTCCTCCGGCAGAGTCTACTAGCCGGCCTTACTCTGAGTTTACAAGACATCACTACTATCTTGGTTAACCTCTTGGAAGATTCATCCTGGCTCGAGCCGTCTCCTGTTATTAGCATCATCGCCGACTACTATTGCTATGGCCTCGACGATGCGTGGCTGACTCTCGAGGAAATCCGATCTCTTTTGCCACCAACGAGCATCGTCCCAGTGCTTGTGGTTCAATGCTTGTGCTTGATTTTCCGTCGTAACAACGGTTGTGTACACAGAGGAGATGCGAGGAGGCTTTTCCAGATGGCCCTCAGCGACCACTGCCATGCTCGTGCCATCATCTATGCTAGTCTCGGTCGACCTGCTATGGCAGTTCTAGCCAGCTACGACGATCTCTTCGTTCACAGAGTTCGCAGACCAACTCTCGTGGTTAGGGACTTAGTCGCCACACGAGACACCAGCAACTGCTTCCTCACCAAAGATGATGCTCTGTTGTTGTTCGATGAGCTCCACGACTACTACACTCCTCTTGCTGCCGCCCTTGTGCAACGACTTCCATTGGAAGTAGTCGAGCCGACTCTGGTCGAAGCCTGTACGGCCGGAACTATCGGTGCTTTGCTCTACCTCAACGCTGTCGCTGAAAGTCACCCCATAGTTCTTCCGACGGTGAAAGCTTCCAACAGTCCACTCGGTGACCTTCTAGTAAGGCGGTTAAACCTCCTAATGGCCTCTCCCAGAGCTGATGAGAATCTCAGCGGAGCTCCTCAGCCGAGTGGTTTCCTCGCGAGTTTCGGTTCGTGGTTTCGTCGAGCTCTTGGTAGTGGACAAAACCATACTGGCCACAGAAGCTCTCGAGGAATTCGAATATTAACATTAGATGGTGGCGGAAGTCGCTCACTTTTGACCATCACGGTTCTCAAGGCATTAACGAGGTACCTCCCGTGTCACCAAATAGGCGCCTTCTTCGACCTCATTGTTGGCACCAGCGCGGGTGGTTTGGTCGCACTTGGAATCGGTTGTCTAAATTTGCCTCTGCAGATGAGCTCAACTGTGGCGCGTGAAATAAGTGTCGCTGCTTTTTCAAAGGGCGGTGCACTCGGGTTGATTGAGAAGTTAGTGAGAATTCTCATAAAAGGTGAAAAACACGATAGTCGCGCAATGACTGAGCACCTCCGGCAAGTCTACGGTGAACTATCCATGGTGGACACTACAGCTCTGTGTGGGAGTACTACAAAAGTAGCCGTGGTGACAGCGCTAACTAACGTGTCACCACCAGAGCCTTTTCTGTTTCGTAATTATACATATGGTCCGGACAGTCCTAGTCGTTATCAAGGCGACCATTCTGTGGCAATTTATCACTGTGCTCGAGCAACAACTGCGGCTCCGGTGTATTTCTCCCCAGTGGTTTTGCATGATGGGAGAGTCATTCAAGATGGCGCCTTGGTGGCCAATAACCCCGCCCATCTAGCCTTGCATGAGGCCGCGCGTATTTTCCCAGGAAGAGCGGTAGACTGTCTCGTCAGTGTTGGCACTGGTAGAGTTCCCATTGAAAAACTAGGAGCTACTTATACTGCTAAGACGGGTTTTTATGCAATCACCAGAGATTTGCTCGCCCTTGTTTACAGCGCTACGTCCACAGAAGTAACCTCGAATATTCTCGACGACATTATGAGCCCAGAAGTGTACTTTCGCCTTCAACCTGATTTACCGCGAGCATTGGAACTGGATGAAGTAGCTGATGAAAGTTTAGATGAACTTGTGAGAATCGCCGAGGAGTATGTTGCGAGACCGGCGGTTGAGCGTCAACTAAGACGGATCGCTGCTAAGTTGATGGATGATTTTCAGTCGTGTTCTAAATTATAGTATTTTTCTCATTCTTCATTGATGTTGAGTTTTTTCCCAACAGTGTGGGAAAATATGTACGTGGTCAACTACATGTGTTGTGAGGAAAAATCGTATTGGTTTCTGTACTGCACTTCTACTACCCGAATTCGTATATAAACTCCCGAGCTCAATAGCTGAGGAAAGCGAACATACATTCCTCCAACAACACTTCAAGTTGAACTCAAGTACAGTACGAGACATTTAGAAACGGGAAATGGTTGCGTAGAAAATGAAATGCTGAAATAGCCTCTGGATACAATGGAGTTACACCCGTTTTACGTGAAGTGACGTAAAACTCTGTGAAAAACACGAAACTAGCGGTAATACGCAGTAGTTGCGAAATATATTTTTCATATTACTAGGGTAAAACTCCATCGGCAAGGACTCAACAATCGAGTTGAAAAAATGGTCTGTCACACACTACAGTGACAATGTGGATGCGAGTTTGTTAATATTTGATTTCGGTGAAGTGTATTTGTTATGTATATATCTATTTGTTTTTTTTACATTCTAGTAGTTTTAGACAAATGTTCAATTGACGAGAACTTTTTAGAAGCTCCTCGTAAATTGCTAAGTAGTTACGAGAAATTGTGCACCTCCACATATATGCGGTTTATGATGCGGACCGACATTTACATCAATTTTATAGGTTTCTAAGGGTCTCGATTTTCGGCAAGAATATTCCAAAAAAACCATCAACGAATCCTCCGCTTGGCACCCTTGTTTAACCTGCGAGAAATTTTCATTGTGGTTCCCAAAACGCAATACGCGTATTAGGAGAAACATTGCTTATCGCACAA